CTATGTCAATGTAACTATCTTAGCTTCTTATTCAAGCCAAATCTACAGATGTTGGAAACTCTAACTTCTAGGAACAAACCAAATTCCTTCTGTGTTAATGAGAAAAACTAAAAATCATTAATATTAGTGGAATGGAGATAAACATTTAAATTATTATTATAATAGCTGCTTTTGCTGTTTTGACTTTGAGGAATTTAAAGGGTGTCAACCCCATTCGTTCATTTCATTTCTTTGTTTCAAATTATCCTCCAAGTTATATAATAAAAACTAACAATTTCAGCCAAGATTTTATTTTACTAAATTTTTAAACATTTCCTTTTGCCTTGTAAAATCTCTCATATCACCCACATTTGAACATACACGTTATATTACACATTTGTCAGATGGTCAAAAGTTTACACATTTTCCTGCTTTACAGCCACAGGAAGAGGGGGGGAATGTTCACAATGGTCCTTCCCCCTTACGCAGAGGCGTCCATAGGGTTGGTGTCACCCGGTGCGGTAACACTTGGTGACACCCCCTCCGACGATCCCCGCAGAATGGATCGGAACTCTGATCCATTATGCTCAATCCGCAAATCTGATCCATCCTGCGGGGATCGTTGGCTTTCTTTACAATTTACCTTTTCTTGGAGTGGGTCCGGTGTCACCCCGTATAGGTTGCATGCCGATGATCCCCCCAGGATGCGGAGATCGCCGGCATGCAACCTATACGGGGTGACACCAGACACGCTCCAAGAAAAGGTAAGTTGTAAAGAAAGCCGACGATCCCCGCAGGATGGATCGGATCCATCCTGCGGGGATCGTCGGCTTGCTTAAAACGTACCTTTTCGTGGCGCGGGTCCGGTGTCACCCTGTGTGGTCGGGCTGCACTCCCCGTACCTGCCTCGGGATGCCACTGCCCTTATGCACACATCCTATCCTTTGAACATACACACATACGTTACTGCAGTAGTCACAGTCAACCTGTTGTGGTCTTCTGCTCATTGTTTCAAAACTTCTTAAAAGCTAATTGCACTGAAACTGTTTGCAGACAAGATTCCATTGCCTTTTTCCTGTCTGGAACTTCTGATAGCATAGACATCCCACCCATGCATCAGTACTTTGCTCCAGTTCCTTCACCAAGGATCATGAGCAATGGGATTCCACTGCCCAATCGTGGGCATCCAACTCAGGAATGGGCTCGCATTTTGATCATCTAGCACCTTCCTTTTTACCCAGCTAAGTAACTGATGACCTTTTAACACTTTTTTAATGTATTATGGCTTACAATACAATAACACAGTATTAAACACAGCACAAACAATCTAGCACAATCCTGTCACTACACATTCTATTATTCATATCTCTAGTTCTCACGATACTAATATCCCACTTATCACACCAAATGCTTTATTACAGTTATGTGATATTTTATGTTTTTGGGGTTTTCAGGATGTGCAAAGAGAGATCATACAAACACTTGTAGGTAAAATCAAACTGTATATAGCATTTATTTAAATAATAACAGATAAATATATAACAAATGCAGTCATATTGGAAAATATAACAAGAATACTTAGCTAATATTACCTTAGAAAAGTGTAATATGAATTATAGTACATAAAATAATTTGAGTTCACTTTGAATACACAGTGATGTGCAAGTTGAATATAACATTAAAAAAAGTTGCTTAAAGTAAAACCAGCTTAATTTTATTAACTAAGCTCCGTGAACATTAATTTAATTAAAGCGAACAATCTCTACAACTTTGATCATTTAACCCATTGGTTTACATGTCATAATTTCTAAATAGCCCAAAAATAAAATCAAAATTATGGGAAACGTCAGTAGTCAGACAGAGAGAAATTACTTGCCCCCCCCCCCCCCCCCCCCAGCTTTATAAACCTAGTGCCTCAATTTAAAATTGTTAACATTTCAGCCACATTTGTTTCTTCAGTCTATTGAGATAATAGCCACCACAGTGAAACAGACAAGTTAGATACAATCAGAATCACTTTAAACAATGAAGAAAATGCAGAGCTTTGATTGTAATAATGTGGTATCTGTTAAGCAAGGCATTGGTAACTTACAGTATAATTTGGAATGTAAGAACAGCAATTAAAGCAGTCAGCTATTACTTATGATTAAGTTTTTTTTTTCACGCTGCAAAATAAAGGCAGAAGAAGGAGAAAGATAGGTAATTTAATTTCTATGTCTACTTTCTAAAGAATTTCTTAAACCTGAACTCCAGGAATATACAGGAAATGCAGTTTTGTTTCCAAATAATCACCTATTATATACTGTATTTTTACATGCTACTACAGAATGTACCTGAATCTGTCTTGATATTGGCCCCGTGATTCAGGCTGGCAGGGAAAGAGGTAGAAGCCAATTAGGTTCTACTGCAGTGCACACGTGCTGAAAGGTGGAGAAAGAGCTGTCTAGATCAGGTGTCTAGATCACATAACTGACTGCACAGAATAATAAATCAGTTGGAAGCTAAAGCAAATCCAATAAATGCATCTGATCTGATTATTCAGCTAATTTCCTGGAGTTCAGCTTTAAAAATTTACAAAAAATATATATATATAGCATAACTAGTACTTTGATCCACTAGAATGTACCAAGGTAACATTTAGGAATATAATCTATGAAATTTATAAGAATTCATTTATTCAAAAATGTTGTTTTATTTAATGTAGTAACTGCAGCAACTAGTCAGAATGCACTCTGATAAAGTTAGCCCTTTTTGAAATTGATTTTTGTTTAGTCGCTTTGCTAAAGTGACTCTGCCACTTAAACAAACTTGCTTTAAGAAAGTACTACCTGCAAAGAAGCAAAGTAATACTTACCTCTCTTGCTGCCCACACAGCTAAACACTGCTCTGCAGAGGACCATTCCTTGAATTTTCTTTGGAAATCAACACTTCCATGCTTGTCAGTCTTAAGCATTACTTGACCACTATTTGACCTCTCTTCAGCTTTTGATACTGTTGACCATCCCCTCCTCCTCAAAAAATCCATTATCTTGGCCTCCGAGAATCTATTCACTCCTAGTTCTCTTCCTACCTATCGCAGCTCTCCTTCAGCATTACCTATAATTCTGTCTCCTCCTCTCCACTTCCTCTTTCTGTAGGAGTCCCTCAAGGTTCTGTCCTTGGACCCTTCTCTTCTCCATCTACACCTCCTCCCTTGGTCACTTGATAAACTCCCATGGCTTTCAGTACCATCTCTATGCTGATGACACACAAATCTATCTTTCTACTCCTCACCTCACCCCTTCAGTCTCCACTCGCATTACTAACCTACTAAGTGACATATCAGCATGGATGTCACTTCACTTTCTCAAACTGAATATTTCCAAAAAATAGCTCGTACTATTCCCTCCAGCCTGTGCCCCCCTCCCCTGACTTTTCCATCAAGATCAATAATACAACCATCAGTTCCTCCCCTAATTCCAGGATACCAGATGTAATCCTGGACTCCCATCTGTCCTTTCAGCCTCAAATCCAATCACTGTCCAAATCTTGTAGACTTCACCTCCACAACATCTCCAAGATACTCCACAACATCTCCAAGATTCCTAACCACGGAAACCACTAAGCAACTTATTCACTCCCTTGTTATGTCTTGCCTTGACTATTGTAACTCCCTCCTCATTGGCCTACCTCATCGCAGGCTATCCCCTCTTCAGTCTAACATGAATGCTGCTGCCAGACTCATCCACCTTACTAACCGTTCCATATTTGCCATCCCTCTCTGCCAATCCCTCCACTGGCTTCCCATTGCCCAAAGAATAAAATTCAAAACATTAACAATAACATATAAAGCCATTTATAAATGTGCCCCCAATTACATTACCAATATTGCCTCCAAATATCAGCCAAACCGTCCTCTCTGCTTCTCCCACGACCTCCTGCTCTCTAGCTCCCTTGTCTCCTCCTCCCATGCTCATCTCCAGGACTTCTCCAGAGCCTCCCACTTAATCTCTACCTCAATCCTATCCGACTATTGCCTACTCTGCCCACTTTTAGGCGAACTCTGAAAATCTCTTCCGGGAAACCTATCCCGCCTTCAGCTAATAATGGAATCTTCTATTCCTCTTATCAGTTCATCCCCCACAGTTATTACCTTTTATACCACCAGCCCCTCCCTCTTAGATTGTAAGCTGCAAGTAGTAGGGCCCTCCTAACCCTCTTGTATTGAACTGTATAGTTGTTGTATTGTCTCCCTTTATATTTGAAAGCACTGAGCAAACTGTTGGCGCTATATACATCCTGTATAATAATAATAATATGCATCCTTTGGTGCTCCCTCTGACCCCTACATCACTGTTTTGGCCATCAGGAGGAACCACTGAGCACAAGAAGGTTAGTGATGTAGTTACTTGCTTTTTTTTAAGTTCCTTTTTTTAAAAGCAAGTTTGTTTAAGTAAGACAGTTGCTTTAAAATGATCAATTAAGAATAATGCAAAAAAGTTTTTTTAAAAATGAGAACTTTTTTTAAATAAACCTAGAAAGTATCTTGCTTTACTCTTTATGTGGTAAAACAGGAAAAAAATGATAGTTTTACAACTCTGTAATTCTGTAAACAGATGGTATGCGTTGCCAAATTTTATAGGATTTATTTGTTTCACAGTTTCTTACAGAAACAAATTTTGTGTACCCAGATGACCTCTTCTATCTGGAAAAGTATCCTAGATTTAATAACATAACCAGAGAGCTGCATCTTGCATTGAATAGCTGATACAAATTACATCCATTTTATTCTTTCTGAAATAATACAAGATTACATTGACCATATTTCCTTTTTAAAGTACATAGGGTCTGCATTTTAGTTTACTTAGAGTTTTACCCGGCTACAATAGAACATTTGGAAAAAATAAGATAAGGACAATTCAATGTACAGCAAACTCAATATACTCAATATACTTGCTTTTTCATGCTGCAGATCTGATAGCATTGTAGTGCGTTATGCTGTGGTCTTTGAAAGAGCCAGCTCCGAATCTAAAAATAAAATTGATGAGACACCTACTATCACCTCTAACAAAGTTGAAAATGGTAACAATGAAGAGGCAAAAGAAATGTCATATACTGTGATGGAGCTGAAGCAGATGGTTGCTATGGCTTTACAAGATGATCGATCTCTGGCCGTAGACCTGCAAACACTCTTATTTTCAGACGGTGAGTAAATAGAGTCTGAGTTAGTCCTGCTTTTAGTAGATATAATGATTTCTTAAAAACAAACAAAAATCAATTTTCTTTTCTTCATATGTGATACTGTACATTATCAAGTGTCAAAGAGAGTAGGCAGCGTTCATGATCTCTATGTTATATGTAACCTTTAGTGACTGTTAGGAGCCACTGCTTATTGCATGTGAATCTGTTGTGCAGAGAAACACTGTTCTTTTTGAAATATAGATTTTCTATAAACTGTAAATCAGTGGAACTCTCGGTACAACGTACCACAACACCAGCATTATTAAAGAAATGTCCAGGGCTTGTGTTTATGGACTATGGGCTTGTGTCCATGTTTAGATGCAGCTTGTTTTTACAAGAGTTATGGGCATTTTTGAGATCATTCAGACTTCACTTACATATGCAATCTAAATGCAGTTGACCTCTGTCTGGCCTGAATTGGACCTGATTCAAGCTTTTTTCGCATTTTCATAAACTTGTATGGGGAGACACAGTTCTGTCACCAACAAATCTCGGCAACACAGGTTGCTAATCAACGGTGAAGGTTTACATAATTTCATACCAAGAACTAGCCTAAGTTCAAATCTAATCACTCAGTTATCAAACAGTTTACACTCATTGTAAAAATACACACAAGGTTGAACAAGTTGCAGAGTGATTCATGTTTGTAGTTTCTTGCTTTACAGATTTTCAGAGATGCTGTTCTAACAGTTTTTTCATGTATTTATAAAGCTGCAACCTACAAGCTGTCAAACGAGGAAAACAGTGAAATGGCTTTTGAAACATGTGAATACATTAACAAAGTTATGCAAAAGCTGTGAATAAAATGGTAAAAATCGAACAAAAGCAACAAACTTGGAACACTTGTACAAAAGCTTAGATGGCTAACAAAAAATGACATACTTGTGTATGTTACTCATATGAATTTTTAAATCGTGTTCTTCTATGAATTCCACATTTCACTTTATAAACAGGAAATAATATAACAGAAAAGAAATATTAAAATACAGTGAAATCTAAATGTGGAAAACCAGTTAAACTCTACAGAGTGCTTTTATTGAGTTTAAAATGAAAAATAGAAACAAACTTTAACGGTATAAAATTTGGCATTGTAACAATTTTGCACCTATACACATTTTCAGTGTTTTTCTTTTTCCAAAGTAGATCAAAGAAAGGTATGGTCTGCAGAACCCATAATCCATGGACTTTGCATTAAGCAGTTAAAAAAAAACTTTAACCATTATCTCCAGCTACAATGAAGAGTTGACACCTCTCGAGGAAATTAATAAAGTAGTTTAAAGTAAAGAATGTAGATCACTTTTTTTATCTCTTGTGTCATTATCTTCCTCATCATCTTGATGTGGACCTCAACGTGCTACTCCATCATTAATCATCACAAGCACCAGACACGAAGTGAAATGTCAAAATTATTATAACTATTTATTAAAAGAGACACTAGCAATATGTGGTGCACAGGTGACACAAGACAGTGGTGCTGAGATACTAATTGAAATTGAATGAATCAGAGACTGATATCAATAGAAAGTAACTGCACAGAGAGACAAAAAAGGAAATAAATCCAGATCTCTAGCAAATGTAATAAATGCTATCATTAAAGGTTGCAGACAGCTAAATGGAGGATGAGCAGGAACTCCAGAGAAACTATTAAGATCAAAGCAGATACAGAAGCACAAACTAGTAAAGTGTAGTAATTAATATGGATTCATAAGAAAGGAGTAACAATTCATTTTTTCACCTTTTTTTTGCTTTACTTCTTTTATAACAAAATTTAAACTACTAAGCTGGTATGTGCTACTTAAAGGAGGAAAATATATATTAATTTACTCACATTTGAGCAATTAAATTCTATTCTGGGTTCTCTGTTACAGTCAGACAATTTGAGCATTTAAGTATATCTACAGCCAAACCTTTTTCTTAGTATAAGATAGAGTAGGGAAGGGTTAATCCCTTGTCATTTTACTTTTTGCTGTCTATGTTCCACATTCTTGTTGTCCTGTAGACACAACTAGACATGTGTGGTTTGCTTCATTCTGAATCAAAATTTGGACAAAACTTTCAGTAGGTGGATGTATCTGAATTTCCAAATTACAAAAGTAACTACTTTAAATGAATCCAAAATACCGAAATTTCATCCAAATTCCCAAAAGGGGAACTTCCACATTAAGGCTTTGTCCCCCACTCCCCGTTAAGGATTGGCACCTTTTGGGAGTGGAGGGGAACCAGAATTTGACAGGTACCCACTCCCACTTCTGTTGCAATCGCCTAGACAATTGGAAGTTGTCCTTCCCCCCCCCCCTCCCTGTAGTCTTCTGGGACACGTGACAGGTCCCAGAAGACTACAGGACCAATCACAAAGCATGCACAGTGGGCACATGGCTGTGAAGCCGCAAGCTGTCACAGGCGGGTGCCCACACTGAAGATGCCAGCACCGAGGAGACAAGATGGTCAGTCAACCCGGCCAGTGTGAGGGCACCGTGGGATTGAGGGACAAGTAAGTGTCCATTTTTTAACAGTCAGCAGCTACAATTTTTGTAGCTGCTGACTTTTATTTTATTTTTTTTTTTCAGCTGGACCTCTTCTTTAAGATAATATCCCTCTTAGAGAGCTGTCTTCAGAAAATGTACCCCCAGTAAAGATTTTGCCTAACCTTCTATTCTGCTGACAACTCTAAGATCACAGATTTCCCATCACTTTCTGTCTCATGAACAATGGTCACCAGGACAAATAGGAAGGATGAATCTAGCCGGCAGGTACACAAACAGCAATACAAATCTGACACAAGTTGTAATTGTTTTCTATCCAAAATGTGAAAAAAAAAGTTTTGGCTTCAGAAACACTTTAGCCTCTAAGTTTGTTGCTTTTGTACTTTTTTTTAATACAGCGTGTTATTATTAGCATATAATTTTGTGTACAAAAAGTATGTGTTTTTGTAATTTTATTTAGAGTCTTATGTAAATATGTATTTGCCCTGCTGCACGCATACAATAGAACATATGGTAATACCAATTTATATTTACATTTTCAATTTTTTTCTCTGAAAATTATATGAAATGTGTACCTGTGTATGTCCATCTTCTGCAATATACCAGATAGGTTATTTGAAAATAAGTGTGATTACAATATGGCAGTAGAGTCATTATATATTACTTATGGAATGCAGATCAGATATCATTACTGAAAAAAGGTTTTTACTAGCAATCAGCTAAGTGCTGCAAATAGCCAGTAAACACCACTCAGTATATTAATAGCCTGTATTACTTCTGTAAACATCTCTTTTGAAAATTACGGCAAGTGCTCACAAGACCTGAGTACACTAGTCAGAAGGGATAATGACTGGCCACCTCAGCTGCAAGATTTGTGTTGAAATGTATTTTCGACATATAAGCAACAAAAAAAAAAGTTAGCTGCCCATTGTTTCAGTTCTATGTTCATAAACGTCAGCATGTGGTTGTTGTCTTATTAGTTGGTGCTGCTCTACACTGATTTATTTTTCAATAAAATTTCTTGGGGACACACTGGGGGAGATTTACTAAAGTTGGTTCACTCAAAACCTCATGCACCTGTGCATGGTAGCCAATCAGCTTCTAACTTCACACTATAATATCAATGTGCAGTGCTAATAAAAATGTGTGTTATAATCAATGATAACCAATGTGATAGTAAAAGAGAAAGGAAACATCATAAAAAAGAAATCGAGAATAGTGAATACTCCAAGGAAGAAACAAAATGGACAATATAACAAATAACAAATGAAAATATATGTCCTATAAATATCATGATAGTCCCAAAAATAGTTATGTGATCAAATCAACAAAATGTAGTGACTTCTGTGATTTTTGCATTGCACCTCCACCATATTGCACTCACCAAAAGTAAGTAGCAAGCAAGCCCAGAGTGGAATGACACTAAGGGGTGTTCCTGCTTGTTCCTCCTGCCGGTGACTTAGTTGAAGGTGGGATCTCTCCAGAAGCCAGTGACACCAAAGAAACAATCAAAAGTAGAGTAGCCAAGTCTCCATCTCCAGCGTGACAAGGTGGATCCCTTTGAGAATGTGCGCGCGCGCGCACAAAACGCGCCAGGAGGGAGGCTGACATCACACCGCCGCATCCACATGATGGTCCTAAGGCGATCTTTGTAAGTGCTTTGTAAGTGCTTTTTATCCATTGATGATTTTATGCTCCACGTGGTTGCTATATTTTTAATAAAACATACTACACTATATGATACTGTCTCCGGGCTCGGTCTATGAGCTTGCCTTGGTTCACCGTGGGCTGGAGATGGAGACTTGGCTACTCTACTTTTGATTGTTCATTTAGTGTATCACTGGCTTGTGGAGAGATCCCACCTTCAACCGAGTCACCGGCAGGAGGAACAAGCAGGAGCACCCCTTAGCTTCATTCCGCTCTGGGCTTGCTTGCTTCTTACTTCTGGTGAGTGCATTATGGTGGAGGTGCAGTGCGGAAGTCACAGAAGTCATTACATTTTGTTGATTTGATCACATAACTATTTTTGGGACTATTATGATATTTAGAGGACATACATTTTCATTTGGTATTTGTTATATCATCCATTTTGTTTCTTCATTAAAGTATTCTCTACTCTCGATTTCTTTTTTATGATGTTTTCTTTCTCTTTTACTATCACATTGGTCATCATTGATTAAAACACACATTTTTATTAGCGCTGCACATTGATATTATAGTATTTTGTTTTGGTGGAGACAGAGGGTTTGCCACGTTCTGCTAGCTGCTTTACTTTATCCTTTTTTGTCTTGCGCTCACCATAGCTTCTAACTTGAGCTTGTTCAATTAAGCTTTAGCAATAAAACCTGGAAGCTGATCGGTTTCCATGCAGAAGTGCACAAGATTCTGAGTGAACCAGCTTTAGTAAATAAACACCCCTGTGCTGCTAGGATAGACCATTTGCTAATAGTTATAGTGTGTGCATTTCCCCCACTATGTTAAGATCTCTGAATTTCATTGCTATGTACATTTATTACATCTGAAATACTATGGAACAAACATAGTAGTTGAATTTCTGTAATTGTGCCATTTTTAAAGGATTCAGCTCACCTCTTTGACAAAAAATAATAAAATGCACATTTTTTTGCAGGTAAAAAAATGTATATTTATTATTTGTTTGTTGCAGGAGCCTGTAAAGCATTGCGTCAGTGATCAGCAGACCTGTCATATGTTTGCTTGCCCATACATCCCATACGTGCAAGCTCATACACCCTAATAAGAAGAATCAATGAATTAATTGAGAACTACAAGTCGACAGCTGCTAAGATTCTTGGGACTTGTAGCTTTCTCATTCACAGAGGACTGTGAATGAGTGACGCAGTTGGGTGGGCAGAGCCCCACAGGGCAGCGTTTTTTTTAAATTTTGACACAGTGGGGGAGTGGGAGCCAGTCCTTTCATTATATATTACATGTTACACCCTTAATATGGGTGTAACAAGCAATGTGTTATGCAAGGTGAACTTATCCTTTAAGCACAACTAGACATGCATTGCAGTTCATTGAATACATTGTCTGCTTATGCATCAGTTTGCAATTTGCATTCTTTCAGGTTGAAATTACTATGTTTTGCCTTTTCTTACATCATTTTCTATGTCAGTTCACCCAAAATGTATAGTTCAGGCAGAAAAGTGGATGTTGGTGGCCTAAAATACAGTGTCTTCTTATATATTTCTTATAATATGTATAGAAATTTTAAAAAGACAGTAAATATTTAAACATGCTACCCAAAACTGAGATTTCTATGGTTACTTAGTGGTATTTTTCTATATTTGTTGTATAATTACTCCATATACTGTAGTTCATTGAGATGTCTTGTAATGATAATTTTACGGTATCACAAACTGTTGCATAATGTTGGACAAGAGCTTATAGAACTTTATTTTATTAGATCCAGATATACCTTCAGAGCAACCAGAAAGTGATGGTCCTTCACCATCCACTGTGGTAACATCCATAATGAAGACTGATTTGGTAAGTTAGTGAGCCAAATGTTTATCTTCTATAGTATTATAAGAGTAAAACAGGAACAGTCAGGTAACACAGACCTTTAAACATTTAAATACATTAGGAGAGTGAATAAGGTTCAAAAGTATTGTACAGCGCTGAGCAAACCCTTTGGCGCTATATAAACTCGGTTTATAATAATAATAATAAAAGTACAGTATTTTCAATATGAAGCTAAGATAAAGAACACAAAGACATAACCTCAAACTAGCAGGAAGAAAAATCAAAACTAACCTCGGAAAGACAATTTAGGCATGAATGGAACCAAAAAAAAATCACATGCTGGATGAAAATTATTACTGGGATTTAATGGGGTTTGTGAAATAGAAATTAGGTGTAGGAATAGTTGTAATATACTGAATACATAAACGATTCAAGACAATCTTAGAAAGCACCATAGTAGGACCTACAAAAGTGAGATTATTTACTGGTACACACTTTCTGTACAAGAAATTGGCTGCATTGTGATGATCACAAAATAGCCATCTCCTTCCTGGCCAGGCCATTTTTTGCAATACTGGACTGCATTAATTTAACTGACAATTTTGAGGTCATGCAACACTGTACCGAAATGAAATGTATGTCCTTTTTTTCCCACAAATATAGCTTTTTTTTGGTGGTATTTGATTACTTCTGCTTTTTGCGCTAGAAAAATAAAAAAAGATTAACAATTTTGAAAAAAAAGCTATATTTTTTTTCTGCTATAAAAGATATCCAATAAAAATTTTCAAAATCAAATTTCTTCATAAATTTAGACCAAAATGTTTATGTTGCGACATATTTTTGGTAAATCAAAATCCCAATAATTGTATATTGATTAGTTTGTGCAAAAGGTATAGCGTCCACAAACAATGGTACATATACTGGAATTTAAAAAAAAAATGTATAATAGTAATAGCGCAATCAATGACTTATAGCAGGACCGCGATATTGCTGCAGGCATTTTTACACTAACTGACACTTTGTGGGAACAAGTGACACTAATACAGTGATCAGTGCTAAAAATATATACTAATCACTGTACTAATGACATTGGCTGGAAAGGGGTTAATATCTAGGGTGATCAAAAGGTTAGGTGTCTACCTCACTCTGTGCTTGGTGTACACTAGGTGGTGCTTTTACTATGGGAAGTGATGGATCATGTTCTCAGCTGGGCAGAGACATACAATTCATGACTCCCCCCTGTCACAACATAACTGTATCTATGTAAACATAGATACAGCTCTGTTCTTCCTCCCTGACCTACGATCTGCCTGCGAGCAACTGCTCGCCGGGACTTGTCGCTCGGTTAGTGCTGTGACAATTCAGAGCAGAAGTTATCCTATAGCCGACTGCGCCCTGTGTGGCAGAAGTGCAAAATCATGTGTGTGTGTATATATATATATATATATATATATATATACACACACACACACACACACGTGATTATGCACAGGAATGCCGCCCTGTAGCAGTACAACTGCTATAGAGTGGATGTTAAGTGGTTGACATCAAGAAAGACCCAACTGATTATAACATGGTAGTGATAAGCAAAGAACAGCCAGAATGGTGAAAGTATCATATGTTATGCATTATGTCTTGATTAAGCCAAATGTCATTACCAGAGGGAAATATACTTCTTAAAATACTGCAAAAACACTTCTATTTTTTTTTATAAATTAATGTCTCTGTAAAAGAACATTGATCTAAAACTGAAACAATATTCGATTACAAGTATTTTTGTATAATAATTGTACAAGGATTGCTAAATCATTCAAGAGTGAAAACGTTCACTTAATTGGATTCATTTTTTTCAAGCGTTTAGGAGGTATATTTATAAAGCAGTTGGGATAACGTTCACTAAACACTCACTAGTGTTAAATCAACCATTGTCATTTAAAACAAGTGTGCCAGGAAGATTCGCCTGCACTGAATATTTGGTATATGTTAGATTCATTGCTTTATAAATGCACCCAAACTGATGAACAATGATTACCCTGTAACATTAAAGAGGGTGATATGTCTTGATATGTAACAAAGGAGAAACAGAGCATTCCAAAAAATTATGATAGACTGTTTCTCAGTGTTAGCCAACCAAAGAACCACAGTAAAAGCTTTGTAATAACAACAAGGGTAGTACTATATGATGATTTTAGTACAGATTTATTACATCTATTATCTGTAGAACACTAAAAGATACATAACCCTAACTATACAAACTAATGGGGCTTTGGAGGCACCATACCCCAAAATTAAATATGCAAACAAGTAACAAAATATAGCTTTTATTAATAAAATTCAAACCACAGTTGTGGTGTTGAGGATTGAAATGAAAAAATGTTAATCTTAACAAGCACGATGTGCTAATAACAAACACAATCAATATAAACCATTACAAGATATGGTCTTGAACAGTATAATGTCATGATAATTATGATGGCTCCAGGTTAATACTTTGCTAGTTGCTCCAATGCGTTTCGCAGGGCACAGCCGGCTTCTTCAGGGAGACAAAGTATGTGATTCTAGAAATATACAAAAATGGCCAAAAAAGTAAAAATGAATATATAGCATGTTTAGAGAGCTAATGATAGATCTAACAAACGCTCTGTCAGTATATTAGCCATTGATGACATCATGGACTTTATGGGAGACCAATGGAACAACATGAACAATGGATCCCAAAAGGAAGGGAAGAAAAGGATCACTCAATCAGAAATATGGATATCCGCCAGTTGGGAAAAGTCACAAATCCATAATAGAAAGCTGAAAAATCATCAAAATATAAAAATGTTTAAATATCCTAGAGCATTACAAGCTACATCCCTACTCCCCAAGAACTTAACCTACATGTATACATACTAAACCAAGTAAACAATGATTAAAGTCTATGTATAAGCAAAATTCTTTATCTTTAAAATAAGTTTTAGCTATATATACGTTTTCAACTTTTCTATAATATATGGTAGTATATTTAATTGAAATAAAACATACCCTTATAATTAAAGAAAAAAATTGCAAAACCTTGTCTTTAACACTGTTTCATGCAGTAGTAAATAGTTGTAAACATTTTGTCAATGTATGAGATTGGTTCTAATGCAAAATACCTTTTTGTATATTAAGCCACCTTTTTAGTCCGCATGAGGTTAATCTGTTTCTCACAAGAACACATTAAGTTCCTCCATTTTCCCTATTGATGAACAGTAAAGTGAAGGGAAGAATGCATTTGATTTGTGAGAAGATATCAGACATTTATAGACAATATTTCCCACAGGAAGACCCTTTTTAAAATGATTGCCCTTAATGGCCTCTGATGAGATATCAGTGGACAGGGTGCAGGCAGGTTGGAAAATCTTAACATAGAGCTCATAGGGTTGATTTTACTAAAGGCAAATAGGCTGCTTACTTTGCAAGGGAAGTTGTAATTTTCAAGGGAAGTTTTCCAAGAGTTTAGTGAATGTGATGAAATGTTACTTTGCAAAAAATATCCAACCACCTGCGAGAAAAATAAAAAGAGGCATTTTTGCTTGCATATGATTGGGCGATGAATGTCAGTAGGCTTTTACCTAAAAAAACTCAAAGTGCAACCTCGCTTTCATAGTGAACAATCTATTTTCCTTTAGTAAATCAACCCCATAAATTTAAGCCCCTGGCAATATGGTAAAATTGATTCGTAGAGGTATGCAGAGGAGGGTCGCCTACCTAATAAAGACAATAGCAGACACATTTTGTTACCTATTGTTAGGCAGGTCTTCTACTTTTAAATATATAAAATAGCTAACAGGTTTACTTTAAGATACTGCTACATATTAATAATTAAATTTTTTTAATTACAATAATAGACATGTTATACTTACTTGCTCCCCCTTTCTCCTCTTCTGGGATCCCCTGCCAGCACTTTCAACTCTCCTCTTCCGTGTCTACACCAAAGCAAGCTGGCTGCTATGAGGGTAGACATGCGGGCTCACTCCAAAGCCGAGCTATGTGTGTCCATAGACACACACAGTGCTGCTTGGCCCTGCCTCCCAATCTCTACTCACAAGATTTGACTGACAGCTGCAGGAACCTATGGCTTTCTCTGCTTCAGCAAAGCCTCTGAGAGCAGGGAGAGAAGATACCAGATGTAGCAAGGCACAGCGCTGGACTCAGGCAAGTGTTTGGGGTGCACGTCAAATACTTAATTGTTTTTTACCTAATTGAAGGAAATGCATTAAGGTAAGAAAAGTTTAAACTTTAGACCACTTTATTCAAAATATCTAGGCTGTTTAGCCTGTCAATTTTTTTTTTTTTTGCTTAGCTGAATGCAAATACCTTTAGAGAAAGGATAAACTTTTTTTCTGAGAGTGATTAGTGGATTAACTGAATTAGACAGACTGAGATACTATACTGTAACATTATACTGTATACCCAAACTCATAAACCAATTATATTGAAATTTACAGTGTTGCATATTGATATGTTTTTTCCTTTTTAAGGATGATGTTTTAATTGCTGAGCTACCACTTTCTAAACCTAATGAAGGAACAGAGCAGCAAGGTATAAGTGAGGACTTCATTGCAAGTACAGTGGTGCCAGATGCCAAGGTGATAATAGGCCTTGTGAATGACATGACTACCGAATCACCTGTTAATCCTATTGAAACTTCCTTTGTTACCACTTCTATTCCATTTCAGTATGTGATCTCACCTCCTTCACTTCATTTTTATGAACCAGAAGTAGAGCTTGAAACACAGTCATTGGAGGAGAATATTAGAGACATTGACAATACGGTCAATGGAGACTTTTCTGTGCCTTTTGATACTCCAAATGCCAATGTTGAAGTGTTAAATCAAGAAGAAGAAATTAATTCAGAAAATAATTTAATTGGAGCGCCAAGTAGTGAACCTTCTGATGTGTGGGAAGCACCTTCTTCTTCTGTTGACACAAATCTCATTATACCTTCCTCTACTATATTTCCTGATGTTGAGGTACCAGAGCTAGATATTCAGAGTGAAGATGGACAAGGGACCAAAATATCTATCAGCACTGTTGTACAAAATACAACTAATATAATCTTTTTCAAAGATCCAGATCCCACAGAGACATCAGGTGATCTTGATATTCAACAGGCTGACATTAATTTAATAAATGATTCTTCAAGCACAATTTTCCCATATATGACAGTGGGAACACCACATGGATATACACTGGTAAAGACAGAAGAATCCTGGACTCCTAGGCATACATTCGCAAATGACAAGATTACTGTTACTGTGCCATCAGTTGTAGATGCTCTTCCTGGTGAGGGTAAGTAATGACATTATGCAGCTTGAAATCTTGGTTTTACAGGCAAATCAGCTGCACCACAAATATTTAAAATTGTATTGTCTTAAAGAAACCTAAAATATTTTTGAACATTCTACTTTTTATTACATAAAGAGGTTTTTAAACTTCTTTCTTTCTCCTTCATTATGAAACACAGGATTCAGTTATTCTAAAAAAAACTGGGTAATATTGCTTCCTAAAGGAGGAAAGGGTCTCCTCTTGGTGTTGAAAAGATAGCCGCTTCAAAGATGCTTCACTTTTTTAGATTTTTTTTTAACTTCCATCAAGACTTCATTTACATGCTGCTGAGTTAGGCTCTTTATGCAGCTATCCAGATTGTTGTAGCCTCAGCGATAGTTTTGGAGGCTGCACCTTGATCTGCTGGACCAAAGATGGCATGGATTGCCTAGAATGTGACCTTTGGGGATTAAGTTCTGCTTGTTGCCCTTTCCATAAACTTTTTTACTAACTGCAGAGCACTTTCCAGGTCCAGAGCCATGGCACAACCTCTGGTGTGACCCAGTCTCTGAAGACTCTTTAATAAGCCAAGCATCCAAACTCTGGAGTTGCTATACTTATTTACAGTAGTATTAAACCAATAAACAAAAATGTAATATATTGTTACCAGTCCTTATATATGATGGCTGCATACATTTTCTTTTACTTTATTTTCACCTGGTGATCCAGCCAGTATCACTTCCTGTAATAGAGTCTCTGCACTCTGGATGAAATAGTAAGTACACGTTGGACACCTTAAGACTCAAACTACCTTTGGTGCTTTTGACAATCATGCACTTATGACTTCAGATTCTATTTGCTGTGAGCCGTAGTATTATCGTTTTGCTACATGCTTAGCTGGGATTTGTCCAAAAGTTTCCAACTTATTAGGCAGTGGGTTCACAAATGTTCAGTTGGTTAATTCATTATGGCTAAAGTTTACTAATCTGTTTTGAGGTTTAAAGTGGTCTTTTCTCCCACCAATGCAAAAATCAATACAGCATGCATCTCTGTATGCTTGTCCCAAATCACTCTAATGTCCTAAAAAAAGAAAGCCTTAGGTTAAAACTTACCCTACTACTTGATTTCCCTGAGGCACTGGTGACAGTGTCAGTCTCATTGATGCACCTTGGGAGGACCACGTCACTTGCCTTCCAGGGACATTCTCTCACATCACCGTGAGAACTTGTAAGTCATGCTTCTCATTTCACACGTGCATTGTATGACCTTACACCCATCTTGCAAGATTTAGGAAGGAAAAAAAAAGTGTTTTTTTTATTTTAAAATAAAGAAGTATAATGTACGACGCATGCGAGACATGAGGTGCATTATGTCATCAGTGAGCTGGCAGAGAATAGGCCAGCCTTCCATGATGTTCATATATTTTTAAATGATGGTGCACCTATCTATCCTGTCGGGGTAACAGAGCACAGACATAAAGGAATCCATTCTAGGAGGAGGCCAGTAAATACTAATAATGTTTTTAGTTTGACTACATAGTTTGCACTTGTGTAGTTATATTGATTATGAAGGAGGGGTGTGCTCTTTAACTCAGGATAGGCCATGTTGCAAGAGCTGGAAATTCAAAAACTGTTGGTAATGATGGCTGGTGTGCTACATTATACTGCTTTCAGTCCTACTGACCCTTTTTAGCCCCGTTCCACTATAAATTAAGAGCCCAACACACCTATGTTTTATTTCCTACTGATGGCCAACAAACATTTACAGCAATAATCCACCCACCATGAACCAAACTCTCAGCACAGACTTCTTCACTATTAGTAAGAGAAAAATGTATATAAAAAGAAAAGTGAATGTGCTTGTTATTAGGCAAGCAATAATGTGTGTGGCTTTGTGCACTGTTAATTCAAAGGCTTTCTTCAAGTGATTATATTCTATTCAAGCATTTGTGTTAGACCGTACTGAAAATATATTGTTTCTTTAATGTTTACCACTTTTATCTCAGCCTTTTGCGCCCTTACATCTTTGGGTGTTTTGTTTCTTTTAAAGAAGTCAATTAAACACCTTAGCGGAAATACATCTTGAAGATGCCCTCCTCCATCTCTACAAGAAACATAGAGTACTCACTTACTATTTTCTAAAGCACAAAACACAAGTAGTAATGTACTTCTTACATCTGCAGAGTATAAAGGCATGTGTACATGTGCATCAGTCTCAAAAGCAAGAAAAATGCAGCCACAAGAAAAGTTCACAAAGGATATTGGTAAAGAAAAAAAATAACAGTAATATACTCCAATGTACTTAGAAAAACAAAATTAAATTACTGCCAACACCCTGAGAAAATATACTTTTCTATCATTAGATTTTCACCTGTACTGTGCATCTGAGCTTTAATTGCCTTAAAGTGCTGCTCTTTCTCTCCCAGTGTGAGTGCAATTGTGAATAGGTTATAGGAAGGTAATATCAGGAAAGATTCAGATATTTTAGTTGTATTTTAAATTACAATGAGGGCCTGTTTATACCAGGCTGTGTTACAGTAATGCATGTTCTGCAATGCACTTGGTCATTTGTTGTAGTTACAAAAGACAATTCATTTTGAATGTGCCCCAGTGCAGATTAAATCCCTCCCATTCTATTTTTAAAATGCAGAGCACAATAGTATTTTACTGAGTGGTTCCACAAATGATGGTGTAAATGGGCCCTTGGTGCTCATTTAGACTATTGCATTGCAGTAATACTTGTTAAAATGGGAGGTTTAAGGCATGTTACCACAACACGTGTAAAACTCATGCCTCCAAATGTGTTGTATTGCAGCACTATTCATTATGAAAGGCATCACAATACGCTACAAAGTAATGGGCAATACACATGTGATGCATTGAAAAAAAAAATTATGTGCATTTTGTTTTTTTGGTTTTGGGCTTTGCCAGCCCATTTAATATAACGCACATGTGGTAACTCACTACTATTGTGTGAATTCAGATTTATTTTTTCTGTTAGGCTACAAACACACCCTTGCATTTTTATTAGTGATGCATTTGGAAATGCACCAAAAGCACATCAGCAAGGGTTGCAGCACACTTTGCATTGCATGTCAATGTTCATGTAGGCATGTCAATGCATGTTAATGTGTGTGTGGATGTTTGTCATAACACTTATTGAAGTGCATGGACAGGCATTTTAGCATGTTTCAATGCAGGGGGTGCCTTTCAAGCCTCAATTATTACATAACCAGATTAAATGGCACTATTTTGTATCTGCTTCAAGTTGGACTTTCACATCTTGTTGTTCACTTCATTTTCTCCTCTGCTTTAGTGATTTTAGTTTGTAGTCTAACCTTGAGGAACAGACAGCAAAATTTTATTTTATGGGTCGCCCAGTTCTTCACAAGCCTACCCGCTATAAATCTACTACTATTACAGTATTTATCAAGGATATATGATTTCACCAACTGTGTAATACAAACTAGGTCTGAAGGATACATAGTAAAATGTGTTTGTTTGTTTTAGCTTTTTTGTTAGTAAAGGATTCTGTGCACGTTCACTGACTTTTACAGCATTCAGCTGACATACTGTTTTTGGTGTTGTGCATCTGTTTGATTGTTTCAAACAGCAAATAAATCTGAAATGTTCTGCTGCTTGCATCAACCCCATGTAAGTTTGTTGTCTACATAACACACTACTTGCATGCAAATGATAGATATGAACATAAAAAAAAGAATTAAAAGCTACTGACAGCCTGGCATCATGAATAGTTTCACTCCATGATGAATAAAAGTTTAATAAAGCCTTGAAAAATTAAAAGTATTACATTTTTATTGACATAGGTTTTTCTCTTTATTAGTTTGAATATCACACTTTGTAAAAACGGAAATTTATATCTTCACATTTTACTTTCTAGTGTGTATTATCTAGCTATGTTTATTTTTTTGTGGAATAAAAAGACATGAAATGACAAAAAGAATATTATGGCATATATTTTCAAAGCAGTAAATCTGACATTTACCAAACATTTACTGCAGATGTGTTTTAAATTACAGTTATTGATTCCCATGCAGTGACTGGTGAAAATCTAAAAGTACAGCTTTAAAAAGGTGTCCCTATGGGTTCTTCAGTCTGTCAGCCTTTTGGGTGATTTTTATTTTTATCAAATAAAGCAGAATCAATAATGTAACATAGAAACAATACACTAACATTAGATATAGATTTAAAATATTAATCTGCTGGTCATAGTGTACATTTTGGAAAATCTGTGTTGTGATTGTTCCTGCGGAAGAAAAATGCAGATTTTTTTTTTTGCTTTAAAGGATTTGGGTAAGGGGGAATTGTTTGCTCTGCTTGCTAATGGAGCATCTAAAGTGAATTTTTTAAGTCATGGCTATTTTTCTTTCAAACTGTTCACTTTTTTTAAAGGTTTCATGAGGCCATTGTGCATTAATGGGAATGAAAGAAAGAAAAATCCAAAATGTTTTTTCTTTTTTTTTTTAGTAGAGCTTTCAATAATTAAGATTACTAGTGTGTAAACCAGCAAAAGTGAAAACAAAAATTACACTGTTCAACAAATTTTTATTTTTTGCCAGTTTTGGAAACAAAAGGATCCATTTCTTAATGAATTTCACATTCTGAGTTCAAATATAACAATGAAATTTGTCAATTGGCTCTAGTTTTTCTGTAAACGGAAAGTTTTCTACTATAGGCGTAATGACTACATAATGCACAATAATTATATAGAAAGATGTCTTTCCACAAATATAAAGCAAGTGATATTGACTACATAACAAAGCCTAAATGGCATAATATATTGCATAGGATTACCAAGAAAAATTATAGCCATAAGCTAAGTTGAATCATTTTAATACTTAGGATTCTCACTAGTTTTGTCTTCAGTTTGTGTCGGTTTTGCTTCTCTTGGCTTTTCTCTTGTATTCGAGGAAAGGGCTATCTCTTACAACTGCACGTGACTACACGCTTCAGGTCTGGGTCATGTGAGGTTGACGGTTGATGACTACACGCTTCAGGTTCTTCCTCACTTGACTCAACCATGAAGGATTCTGGTGCTTTAGGAATTGGTAGCCCCTCTCCATGAGGAACTGGACGTATTGCCGATGGAATATTTGGATAGTGCACAGATAACTTTTTCTTTCTTATTTAGCCCTTTTACAATTGGAGGCACCATACAAAAGTAACAATTACTAACATGATCTGTTGGCTCTCTCCAAATCATTGGCACAGCGAAAGGCATAGATGCCTTTTTTCCATTCAACCATTGCTCCAGTGCCGTCCCACAAGAATTGCAGCATATATGTGGTGCCCAGCTCTTGTCCTGGTCTTCTATCTTGCAGCCAAAATACAAGTTGTAGGCTTTCTTAATCATTCCTGTTATCCTCCTTTTTTGTGAGATAAAAGTTATTTCACCGCAGATATAGCAGAAATTATCTGCTTTATTCACACAAGTTCGAGGCATTACTGAGTAGCCTATATAAGCATAAAACGAAATGTAAAGACGCTGTCGAACTACAATCAGCTACAGATACTGCAGCTTTTATGCAGTGAAGTGATGCAATTAAAGGCTAATATTGCATCATCTCAGTATACATGCAATTTTCTATTGGTCACCAGTATCAATTGCGCAATATGCAGCTGAAGTTGCATCATAATTTTGAATGGCTTACGTCATTAGATGGGTGAATATATCATAGAAACTAGAGCCAATCAACATTTTTTAGGGTCATTTTCGTTTTTAGCACCCCAAAATTATGTAAGATTAGCTAATTTTATGCCCAAAACTTTTTACCTGTTGAACAGTGTTATAAATAATGCTGCTATGCTTTCTTACACCCAATGAGTCAGTAAGCCAGATGACAGGTGAGATACTGGTGTGTTTCCACCAGAAATCAATATCTGGTTTTCCTTTCCTTGTCTCCAAGCAAGTGACAACTGCCTGAACATTGCTGCCACTCTAAAATTTGAGATCCTCATGCACACACTTTGCTTTGCTTACATACAGAAGTTGATACTCCAAGACTTTCTAAAGATGTTTGTAGGTTTCCATGATTTTGGGAATAAATCGGAGAGCCTGCACCCACTTTCACAGATCCTTTCCCATACTGAGTGTGCTAGTGGTTTTACAAAGACAGTGCTACCTACCTATTGTATTACTGGGTAAAGCAGCCTGTATAGGAGGCTCTTGATAACTCGTGTTTCTTCAAATAGCCAACCAAAATTGATAGCAGGATGTAGTGCACCATCACCAATGCCATCTGTTTCATTGTCAATGGCAACACTTACAGAACCAAGAAAGTACAACCTTAGGGATCAATTTGCTACCACATTATTTTTAAGGGCTAATATAGAGAGAAATGTATGCAGGAAGAAGTAGAGGGTAGCTAATAAAGATATTTTCATCTTTGTGAGACGTTTGAGAGATTCAAGTTGGAGAATGTGGAACACATACAGCATTTTGAAGATCAGTCTGATCTTCTGTCCATCATGCTTACCAGCTCTGATTATAAAAACAATGGCATTTGCAGGTGGAGTTTGTCTCAGAATCAGACAACCTAACTAGTATATCAGGCAGCTTGCTTTCTGTTAATGGGCACTTTGTTTTTCCCAATTATGCCTTGTTGGTCAAGGAATTGTATGTGCCTGCATGCACAAAAAACATTGAGGCAGCAGTGGAGTGTCAATGCAGTATCTCACTATAGTTCATCTATTTCACCCTCCCTCTCCATCTTACCCTATGCCTCCCTCATTTTGCCTGCCTTTTCATTGACGTGAGCAGAAAAACACATACTATATGTGACAGGAGTCACTTTGGGTGGGGGGCCCATGGAACCCAGCTCACTTTGGAGAGGTGGGGAGACCCCTGTCTCAGCTCCCCTTATCCCTCTTATGTGTAAGTCACCCTGTGCCTGTTAGGGGTACAGGGTGATCTGTCCTAATATTGTGTAGACATGTCTAGGAGATAGGTGGGGTGGGGTTGTGAATTGGTTGGTGTGGTGTGGCTGCATCCCATTGTTCTATTGTTTGTCTTGCTTGGCAGCAAACTATTATGGGATGTATGTGTTTGTGTATTAGCTTAGTGGGGGTGTCTCCAGCAGCCCTCCCTCCTGATGGGACTGTCTGCTGGTGTGAAGTTTGAATACCTGTGGGTCTCTTGTTACTAAATGTAGATTGCCCCACCCTGTGTCATTATGCAGGGAGGGGGGACTGTACCCTGAGTGTATATATCTTGTATCTGTGTTCAAATAAATTAGTCTACCTTCTGGCTTACTTCAAATCTGGTATTGTCTGGATCTTAGGGTAGCAATAGCCAGATTCACTGGTCTCGTGTTCCAGAGCCTGAAAAGCAGCTTCTTGATGGAGATACCCAGTCGTGGGGTCTGTTACAGTCGTGGGGAATATGCTACAGATGTGCCACTAGGTCCTCCTTGTACACCCTCACCTTTCTCCCCTCCTTATTTGTCATAGATATCATCACCAACTATGTCAATACAGTGAATGACAACCATTGCACTTTTAAAAAATTCCTTTACTCCTGAGCAGAATATGTCACTTCTCATTTTGTAAATGTTTGGATGCTTTGTGGATTTTTTTGTAGTCTTTTTGTTTGCTAAGGCAACACACCTTAAATGGCTTGGTCAAATATCTTTACCAGATTTTTGGTTTGATGTGCCACAATATGGAATTGCATAGGCTTTTTGGAAAATGTTGTTGTAGGTGAATTTAAACCTTAAGGCCGGATTTTGAACAACTGTATTCTGTATGTTATAAAACAGATAACTCCATTTTACTCCGATGTGCAATTAAAATTTGACTGTGCAATGACCTATTCCCCTTCTATTTATCAAGATGGGGGAGTGAAAACACTGGAGTTCCACTTTAAACTACTAAATGTAGATAGGAATGTATTTAAGTATACTGTAATTACTGTATAACGTATATATATATATAGAGAGAGACACACACACACAGAGAGACAGAGAGAGAGAGAAAGAAAGAGAGTCAGAGATAAGCAATTTTTAGCTCAAGGTGCATCCATATATCAAAGAAACTTGAAGGGTCGCTGAAATGTTACTAAGAGCATAACTGTCATGTACACAAGATCCCTGAGGCGCAGAAGTGCATGGAGAATGATGGAGCAGCACATATCCTTTCTAACAGTTACAAATTATCTTAACCTTATGGGATATGCTATGTTCTCAATTTTAAGTATGTAAAGAGGTTATACTCAAGCTTATTTAATAAAACATAGCAAACTGCAGTGATCAAGGGTGAAGAGCACTTTTCATCAGATAACAGCATATATAACAATGAAGCATTATCACTTACTGTTTGCTATGTGTTAGTGCATTTTGTGCTCTGTTCTTTGCTTTCCATTGCAAAATTTAACCAAAAAGCTTAAAAAAATACTGTACTTCAAATATCCCTTTATTTTGAATAGTGCTTAACAACATAGCCTTATTCAGATAGTTGTGCTGCAATAAGGTCAAAGAGATGTATGGTGTTTAACCACTAGCCTACAGGGCACTTATACCCCCTTCCTGCCCAGGCCAATTTCCAGCTTTCAGCACTGTCACACTTTGAATGACAATTGAGCGGTCATGCAACACTGTACCCATATGAAATTTTTATCATTTTTTTTTTAGACAGAGCTTTCTTTTGGCGGTATTTAATCACCTCTGGGATTTTTATTTTGTCTTAAACAAACCAAAAACCACTGAAAATTTAAAAAAAAAAAAGTTTTTTCTTAGTTTTTGTTATACAATTTTGTAAATAAGTGATTTTTCTCCTTCACTGATGTGCGCTAATGAGGCTGCAGTGATGGGCACTGATAGGTGGCACTGATGGGCACTGATGAGGAGGCACTGGTAGGTTGCACTGATGGGCATTGACAGGCATCACTGATGGGCACTGAAAGGCAGCACTGATACATGACACTGATATATGGCACTGATAGGCGGCACTGACTGGCACTGATAGGCGGCACTGACTGGCACTGATAGGCGGCACTGACTTGCACTGATGCGCACTGATAGGCGACACTGACTGGCACTGATAGGTGGCACTGATTGGCAGCACTGATAGGTGGCACTGATTGGCATTGATAGGTGGCACTGACTGGCACTGATGGGTGACATTGAAAGGCAGCTCAGATGGGCACTGGTATGCACTGCTTTGTGGCATTGATGTGGCACTGATGGGCACTGGCACGTGGCACTGATGAGCACTGACAGGTGGCACTTCTGGGGCCACACTGATCATCAGGGCACACTGATGATCAGTGCCCTGATGATCAGTGTACATGTTCCATCCACAGAAAGCCGATTACCGGCTCTCCTCTCGAGCTGTCAGCGTGACAGCTCGAGAGGAGAGAAATGCCGATAACCGGCATTTCCGTGTTTACATGTGATCAGCTGTGATTGGACACAGCTGATCACATGATCGAGCCAACATCTTCGGCTCTTTCCGTAATCCGCTGTGTCCGAGGGACACAGCGCACCGGCGATCGCCGCGCTGTGCGCTCCCTGAGCCACACATGCGCAGTGAGAATGGTAGGACATCATATGACGTCCTATCAGAACGAGAGAACCACCTTGCGCCCATCATTGTACTATAGGGTGGGCGGAAAGGTGGTTAAAGGACAGTTTTGGAGCCTTGAAATGTTGTTCTGTGAGGATTACTGCACTTGTTGTGGAGCACACTTAAAGTGTTACTAAACCCAGAACCCTGCATTTACTCTGTCTGGTCTCCCACAGTACACAGAACATGGAAATGCAATTATTTTGGTAAATATAAACTGCTAAATACTTTTTCTCATCAGCAGTTACAGCAGTCTTGTGGCTTCTATTAGTGTCCAGCCCAGCACTAGCTAAAGCTTGTAGGAGGAGTTTTCTTTCTGCTCTAGGAGGATGGAAAACCCCTGACCTCTGTCTGGACAGTGCTGATTGGTCCTGTGCTGATCACATGCACTCTCCCAAGAAAAAAAAAACCTCTTTAGCAATACACACCAAACTAAGCATGTGCATGCCCACGGTTCAGTCTGGAGATAAGTGGTGGTCACTTGAAAAAGGGGAGGAGCAGAGAAGAAAGGATCAAACAGCCTTTTTACACAATGCAAAGAATTAACCCCTTAGGTTCCACAGTGAATATAACAAGCATGCTTTACTGCATATACAGACTGATTTTACTGTTGTGGGTTTAGTAACACTTTAAACTACTGCATGTAGTAGTTTGGTAGTGCAAAGCCTAACACAGCACAGACCAACATCGATTTGCAAATAGCTTGCTAGATGTGAACAGAGGGTTCTTTGTGCTTTCTAACATGGTTAAACACTTGGCAAAACACATAGATGTGGTCAAACCCACAGCACTTGAGTCAGTTATAACAGTATGTGTCATGTAGCATATAAAGTATTCAATCAGCCAACCATAAGGTCACAAAAAAGAATGACTCTATTCAACAGGTGACAACTACATCATTATAAACAATGTAATTTCTTCATATATCATAAAAAAAGAATATGATGTACAGGGGCAAAGAAAGCAAGCACTTTCACGTACTGCTCAAAATGGGAAAAAAAAGCTTTACAAGGAAATGGCTTGTATAAGAGTCATTGTGGCTGACCTCTACTTTCCCAGAAGTGCTGAGGCTCTCTGCACATATTGTTTTCAATTATGTCAAAGTAAAAAGGTGTTGTCACTGGACACTTTGACATTTACAATAAGTATATCAGTCCCCTAAGGTACATGCAGGTCATTGTGAGATTCCTGGAACTATGTTGTAAATTATCACTTGGTCATAGATGTGCAAGAAATAGACAACTAAATGTAAAATGTTTACCTAAATGTAAATATATTGCTTTATCACTATTATTTTTATTATTATCAATGTTAGTATGAAAGATAAGCAAATTGACCTGGATCTTGCCAATACACTTGAGGTTTGGCACAGAGGCATTGCTAGGATTTTAAAAGAATTTCAGACAAAATGAAAGAAATATAGTGGCAGATATGGCTAGCACATGTTACATGGTGGCTGTGGTTCAAAAGGGCATGTTTAAAGTGCACCTGAGCCTACCCTCTGTATGTAATACAAATCCATGCTTGTAAGTGATGCTAAAGCCACACTGTTTAATTTATGGCTGTTATCTCCTCTAGTTATGTACAGTGGGGCAAAAAAGTATTTAGTCAGCCAACAATTGTGCAAGTTCTCCCACTTAATAGATGAGAGAGGCCTGTAATTGGCATCATAGGTAGACCTCAACTATGAGAGACAAAATGAGAAAAAAAAATCCAGACAATCACATTGGCTGATTTGGAAAGAATGTATTTGCAAATTATGGTGGAAAATAAGTATTTGGTCAATATCAAAAGTTCATCTCAATACCTTGTTATATATCCTTTGTTGGCAATGACAAAGGTCAAACGTTTCCTGTAAGTCTTCACAAGGTTGGCCCACACTGTTGCTGGTATGTTGGCCCATTCTTCCATGCAGATCTCCTCTAGAGCAGTGATGTTTTGGGGCTGTCGCTGGGCAATACGGACTTTCAACTCCCTCCAAAGGTTTTCTATGGGGTTGATATCTGGAGACTGGCTAGGCCACTCCAGGACCTTGAAATGCTTCTTACGAAGCCACTCCTTCGTTGCCCGGGTGGTATGTTTGGGATCATTGTCATGTTGGAAGACCCAGCCACGTTTCATCTTCAATGCCCTTGCTGATGGAAGGAGGTTTGCACTCAAAATCTCACGATACATGGCCCCATTCATTCTGTCCTGTACATGGATCAGCCGTCCTGGTCCCTTTGTGGAGAAACAGCCCCAAAGCATGATGTTGCCACCCCCATGCTTCACAGTAGGTATGGTGTTCTTTGGATGCAACTCAGCATTCTCTCTCCTCCAAACACGACGAGTTGTGTTTCTACCAAACAGTTCTATTTTGGTTTCATCTGACCATATGAAATTCTCCCAATCCTCTTCTGGATCATCCAAATGCTCTCTAGCAAACTTCAGATGGGCCCGGACATGTACTGGCTTAAGCAGGGGGACACGTCTGGCACTGCAGGATCTGAGTCCCTGGGGGCGTAATGTGTTACTGATGGTAGCCTTTGTTACGTTGGTCCCAGCTCTCTGCAGGTCATTCACTAGGTCCCCCCGTGTGGTCCTGGGATATTTGCTCACCGTTTTTGTGATCATTTTGACCCCACGGGTTGAGATCTTGCGCGGAGCCCCAGATCTAGGGAGATTATCAGTGATCTTGTATGTCTTCCATTTTCTAATTATTGCTTCCACAGTTGATTTGTTCACACCAAGCTGCTTGCCTATTGCAGATTCAGTCTTCCCAGCCTGATGCAGGTCTACAATTTTGTTTCTGGTGTCCTTCGACAGCTCTTTGGTCTTCACCATAGTGGAGTTTGGAGTGTGACTGTTTGAGGTTGTGGACAGGTGTCTTTTATACTGATAACAAGTTCAAACAGGTGCCATTGATACAGGAAATGAGTGCAGGACAGAAGAGCTTCTTAAAGAAGAAGGTACAGGTCTGTGAGAGCCAGAAATATTGCTTGTTTGTAGGTGACCAAATACTTATTTTCCACCATAATTTACAAATAAATTCTTTCCAAATCAGCCAATGTGATTGTCTGGATTTTTTTTTTCTCTTTTTGTCTCTCATAGTTGAGGTCTACCTATGATGCTAATTACAGGCCTCTCTCATCTTTTTAAGTGGGAGAACTTGCACAATTGGTGGCTGACTAAATATTTTTTGTCCCACTATATATGGATGAAGACACTGAATTTTTTTAATTTAAAAAAAAAAATCGAAGTACCTTTTTTAATAATAAATATACAGCTGTCACGGGCCGTGACCCAGCTCTATCCCAGCCTTTTAGCAGGGAAACATCAGCGGGAGGATCTTCTAGTCTTCTGCTGCTAGTCACATGTTCAAAATAAAAAAAGACTTCAGAATACAGAGGCAAAATACATAATCAACCGCTTCCCTGCCACCCTATAGCAGATATACTGCTACAGGGCGGCAGGGGTACGCAAAGTCACATATATATACCGGTGATTTTGCATTTCCGGGTAGGCAGCACGCAAGAGCCATGCGCACCCTACCCGCGCCACCATTTGCGGCCTCGGCTGTCAATGAACGGGTTTCATACGGTAATTACCTGCCGGCGCCTGGTAATTACAGATCATCTCTGATGGGGAGGAAGACTGTTTTGTTTACAGTCTTCCTCCCTGTCAGCTTCGGCAAACTGCACAGCACAGCCATCCATAGCAGTGTGCTTACAGTGCAGCACATCCCCTGCCCCCTAGTAAAACACTCCCTACACATAGTTATCCCATTGATCACCCCTCATATTAACCCCTTCCAGCGCAGTGCCATTAGTACAGTGTCAGTGCTTTTTTTTTAGCACTGGTCACTGTATTGGTGTCAATGGGGATGTGAGTGACACCAAGTTCCCCTCCAGTATCAGAATGTCTGCCGTAGTCCCACAGTCCCACTAAAAGTTGCTGATCGCCGCCATTACTAGTAGAAAAAAAAATACCAGTGTCTATACCGCCATTTGTAAATGCTGTAACTTTCATGTAAACCAATTAATTTACACATATTGGGATTTTTTTTTAGCAAACATGTTGCAGAATACATTTTGGCCTAAATTTATGACTGCATTAGATTTTTAAATTTTTTTTTTACTGGACATGTTTAATAGCAAAAAGTCCAAAATATATTTTTTTTTCTCAATTGTCAGTCTTTTTTTTTTTTTTATAGCCCAAAGAAGAAAAAAAACGCACAGCCGATCAAATACCACCAAAAGAAAGCTCAATTCATGGGGAAAAAAGGACAAATTTCATTTGGGTGCAGCGTTGCATGACTACGCAATTGTCAGTTAAAGTAACGTAGCGCCGCAGGGAGGTGATGCCTCTATCAATCAACATGTAATTTCCCTTCCCCTTTGTGTAGAGCTGTGTATTAGGCATGGAGGAGGAGGGAGGGAGTGGGATGTCATTTAACCAGAGTGTATATGCCCACATGTGGACATCATAGATAAGTAAACGGAGGAAATGAACTGCTTAAACTGAAAGTGGAGCATGCCCAGGAGATTTGGCAACAGCTAAACAGCTAGTCTACACAATCTCAGTCTGCAGCAGGGACACAGACAAGGATAGAGGGGAGGGACCATGAACAGCAGGATCAACCATTTTTTTTTTTCTTTTGCAAAATTCAGAAAAGGAATCCCATAGTGACTGAGTATGAACAGCATGTAATACAGCATGTACTGACAGTTTTTAACTCCCCTGGCAGTATTCCTGAGTGTAGCTCAGGGTTAACTTTCAGTACCAGAATCAGTAACCTCGAGCTACACTCGGGATTACACTGCAGCGTTGCTCTGGGATCCCTTGAGCACTTACCTTGTCCTGCGCTCCCCGCGATGTCCCCCCTG